CAATCTAAACAATAAACAAGATTGAGACAAATAAATAAATCACTGGGAACATACCGAATGGTTGGTTCACCCACCGCTCAAGCAATATTCGTGGTTATAATTCGTGCTTCTCTGATTTAGGGTTTTCCATCTATACCTCCATGTCGTACCTTTTCATAGATACACTTCTGATACGCTGCTTCACGTGGAAATCTCGTTGATTAATGCGTTTATGAATAGCTTTGTGTGTCCAAACGTTTGAAGGGCGCTGCGAACCTTATGTTCGCCACTAATTGAGTGTATTCAAACAATACACAAACATTATGTTTATACCTTCCCCTTTCGCATCCCCGCCGTCATATAGAACAGTAGTTTTCGGTTGATTGTGCACGCGATGTGATGCGTCGCCATGGTGGCATTGATGGAGCAGCAGTGGGAGTGATGAAGGGCGCGCGCGAAGCAAATGAGTTGGCGAAGAACATCGGGTGCGCCGAGCGTGATGGGTTCAAAGAGCTTAACTTGTAATCCGTCTATGATTTTAATGCACATTATTTCGGCGCGCTCCTTTGTGTATTAAACGCGTAGCTGGGAGTAAGGGAATACACATGCTTTAACAAACATATCTGATTCGGTGAATCAGCATATATATATACATGTTGCAAAATTCACAACGCACGGGTTAAAATCGAGATCTAATATTGCTTTTTATAGTGTTGTTTGTATCCAGACGCTGTATAAATAAATCGGGTCCCTTGATGCCAAACACAAATATAATTTTAATCGAAATGACGTCCTTATGTATCTCGCACATATAGGCAACCCACACATTGCGTGTATTGTCTCGAAGGGATAAAACAAACGCCAAAGTGAACATCGTTTTCCCTCTGGGAGAATGAGGACGATGAAAGCGGGTGGCGAAGGAAGCTTCGGCGGTACAATCAAGCATCGCACATTGCCTCTGTCAGCAAGCATTTTACGCATGACAGTCGCCGAACACACTCTTAATATGCGCTTCGGTCGCATTCGGTCTACGCCAACGTTGACGGCTCTATTGCGCTAGTTATAATTTCCTCTTCTCATGTGAGAATTTCCTCGCCACAGCCAGAGCATAAATTTATGAATAGTGGGTCTCTTTGAGCCAAGACAACTCGTGCGCATTCCGTTTTGGTCTCCTTCGCAATTTGCTGAAAGTTTGTAAGCGCAGGAATATTAAAAATTACACTCTTATGGCAGGTATAGAGGAAAGAAGATGCCAGAGAGATTTGTATCTGATAAAGTTTCGATAACGCAAAGAATTATGATTATGAAATTCCCCAAGAAGCACGGAAATGCACACGCTCGTGATATAAATCATCATCGTCAACATCATTCAGTCGCTAAAAATAAATACATATTTTCATCGCTTCACGTGCACGTATATAGACCTACATGTATGGAAGGAAGCTCGCCATAACTTCTCAATAAGACTTTGTTGTCTTATAGGATCAAAGCCATCGCCGATGCGCCTGTGTCCCGGCGAGGGATTTCGGGTCCGTGCTGAAATTTAAATTCGTTTCTTATTTTCAGACACTTTTGTTACTGATCTTTTCAATGCGGGCCATGTGCGTGCGTGCGTGTGTGTGGGTTGTTGCTTTGTACAAAAGAACAGTGCGCGAACGGAGGAGAGACAGGAGTTGGAAATAAAATGTAAAACACGAAAGGAATAAGTCGTCGTCGACTAGACAAACGCCGCGCCGTCGATATTATTGTCTTTTTCATTTTATCAGCGCGACGGACATGCATTACATTTTAATTCCATTTCTAAGGCTGCTGTTGCGCGCATTGTGAGACAGCACGTAGAGGAGGAGAGCACTTTGTTACCATTCATACATCGCCGAAGACACTCGTGTGAGTGTTGCGGCGCGCTGCCGATATTAAGCGGATTACGTCTCAGCAGCCTTTTCAAAGAGCATTAAAGAACATAGGTGATAATAACTTTCATATAAAAGTGAACTAGTTTGACAGAAGAGCCAGAGACGACGCGCGAGATGAAATGTTGAAGATGGTTCGAGAGAAGAGCAAAAAGAAGAGGAGGAATAGGGAACGTAATCCTACGTCTAGGGAAGAGCAGAGAGAGAGTATTATAAGACTCGACCATTGTGGATACTGACGTGACAAATCCAAAGGGAATAGCAAACCGATGTGTCGCCGACGTCTCTTCGTCCTTTTTTGTCTCCACACACACACACATTCATAGACATGTATTGAAAATCGTGAAGCTTTTCAGTTAGATTATATCTCCCTCGGAATAATGGGATAGTAAATTTTCTTTCTTTTCATACATTCACGCCGGGTACATAAATAGATACGTAATTAGAGTGATAAAGCGTGAATCTATTCTGTATTTTGGAATATTATCGCGATCGAGCTTAAGCCGAAAAGTAAGGCAACTAAGGCAACTTTGTCAAGCTGACAAAGCTCTGCGCGAGCAGCGAATTGAAGTTGAATCATTCGACAAGAAGAAGGGGATCGTGCGGTCATGTTCGATGGCTTTTTGCCGCGGCTGCCTGCATGCGGGATGGATTTATATAACACGTGAAGGCTGTTGTTTCTAGCGGCCCATCATTCATTCGAGTAAACATTGTAAATCAGCCCGCCAGTTGGTCGGTCGGTCGATTCGCTCTCGACAACCCGTGCTCTTGCCCGCGAGCATCACACATCGCAATGCGTGCGGAACGTGCAACAGACACACACACATACAGTCCCATTTTCAGTGTGCATCTCTTCGACACTGTTTCCCAGTTCATAAAGTTAACACGAGTTTATTTGTTGGAATGGAACAGTCGAGTTGCTCTAATGCGTTTGAATTGTTCGATAATAAACAAACTCTCAATGCATGCACTTCATCCACCATCGCTGGGACGGAACTAGGGACACAAGTACACTAATCGCGGGACGGAACTGTAACAAGAGCAAATGGTTGAATAGAATGGAATGTTGCGAAACCACAAACTTCCTCAGCGTGGTAGTTTTTTACGCGCACATGTGAGAAGCCGGATTCGGATGTAGGATGTGAATTCCTGAAATGCTCGAAATAATTTTTCCAAGTGTTGAATTCAAATTTCAAGGTGCCTAAGAATAACAAATAAAACGTCTTCGGGATTGGGTAGACAGAAGCGGAAATAGTAAACCGCCCACAAAAACCAGATGATAATTAAATTATTATGTTCACATGATTTACGATTGCATCGTAAAACGCGGGAATCTACTCAGATTTTCTTCGTTCGCCATCACCATTCTAGTTCCTTCCAGTAAACATTTCGCGGTAATATAAATCAGTTGTGGCGTTGTGACATAGGCAACCAAACGCACTGCACGCGTATAAATTAAACCTTGAACGCACATTTTTCTTGATTTTATTGATGTGGAACGCATTTTTCGACAGCTACATTGACTTCCAACAACGACTGGATTATATTACAATGGGCGTTATTGTCTCGCCACCGACTTCGACTTTGTTTAAAAGCGGTGTGCTCGAATAAACATCCATAATAACACATAAATGCATGGTATGTCTCGGCGGCGCGTTTCTGGAGAATATCCGGCGTTCACATGTGTTTAACAGATGCAAAATACTTCTCGACTCGAACACGTCCGAATGCTATGTTAAGCCACACACGCATGTGTAATCATAGTAGTCTTCTTTGTTACGCTCGGAATTGGAAGACGACGAGAGAAGCTTTGTGTTTTTCGTAACATTTTATGTGCGCTCGGTTATTATTGTATCTAGAGCCCGTACGCCGTACAAAATTGATCCACGAATTTTCCAGCCGCTAATTGTACACTTTGATTGCTTTTTCTCAACGCGTTTGATCTTCTTGCATGTGAATTTAATTTTCCTAATTATAATAGGATCCGAAACCACCAACCGCTATCCTCACACTTTAATTCTCTATAAACTGCTTGACTGCGACTTGTCTGTTCGCACTAGACGTCTGTTGGCAATTTTATGTGTCTCGCGTACCCGTTTAACTTTGTTTTTCCAGTACGAACTCAAAACGAAGAATGAACATGATAGGTTGTAGAGATAGGTATATAAGATATAATTATGAATGAAAGTTTAAAAATAACTCGCGTTTTTAATGTGTTATATAAACATCAATAAAAAATGTCAAAAAGAAAAAATGGTCCAGCTGAAGTATTTATTTCGTCTAGCAGTGCTAGAAAGAGAAGACGCCGGCTGGCTCGTGCAGAAAGTTGAATGAAAGATCGACTAAATTGTTAACGCAGCTTGTTGTTTAGCTGGCCGAGTAATTAACACGCACCGGAAGAGATACATCATGTCGTAATAATGACCGACACACCAGAATAATCTCCCAGCTTCTCGCAGACGCATGTGCAGCAACGCCTGCTTTGATGCATATCATAGTGTTCTTATTATTTGCGCGCAGACCTAGAATCCGGAGGAGATCTGTCGGCTCCAATCCCTTCGTTGTCATTTCATGTGTGACACATCTCTAGCCGAGCTAATAAAAGATTCTTTCATTCGCACGAACCTGATCTGCATTCGTAGATCGAGTTTCTGAAATGAATTAATATCTTCAATCAGATGCATCGCTAGAACTCTAGATACAAGCGCAATTCGAATGAGTCGTAGAACTTTAATGACCTGAAGTTAATATTAGGGTTTGAGATGTGCGGCCATCATCAAATCGTGTATTTATTAAATATTTACGACGATGTTGTGCGGTGCGCTTACCGTGAGTATCTTGTACGGAATGATGTTGGTGGAAGTTGCAGTGAATGGAGGATAAATTTGGACGGATGCCGGCTTATATTTAGTAGCAGTAGGCGGCTTGGCAACCTGCAAATACTTAAAGAAAAAAACCCAGCAGCGGGAATGTAACAGATGGACAAACTTCTTTCTAATGTATCCTCGCGTGCACTCGAAGTTATTCAGCGTTTAACCTAATAATAACAAAAACAAAACACCCATTTTCTTCTCGGTTGTTTTACGACAGTTTTTTTTCGTTTCATTGCAGCAACAGACCGCTAGTCAACTCATCAATGAAACTGAAAAGGAGCAGGAGAGGCAGCGCCAGCGTGAACATGAGCACTTCATGCAGCAGCAGCAGAAACTGCAGGAGTTGCAAGGACAACTCATGGCGCAATACCCGGGTGCTGCAGGACCTCAAAGTCTTATGTATTTTCCAATTCTGGAGCAGCTGCGCAACTTACCGCAATTGCCACCCGGTGTAACAAAGAATGTAGGTGTAGCAATTCCTTTAATTTGGGAGTTTATTTATTCGTATTCTTGATATTCTCTGCAGATGCTACCATTTCATCACAGTTGGTTATCAGCAACGCACCTGGGGCAAATGTCCGCGTGTATAGAGAAACGAACACCGCCCCCGCAACCAACTCCATCTCCGCCACCGCCATCAGATCCCGACGCACCGTTAAATTTGAGCAAGCCAAAATCTTCGAGTTCGGGATCAGCGGGGTCGAGCCCACATAATTCTTCCATTGGCCATCAACATGAACAACCCGTCGCAGCGACGACACCCAAACTTATACCTCCTCCCAACCTTTTAATTTCACGTCCATTCCCTCCTTATGCTGGCTTGCCGCCACAATTTCCTCTACAGCCCAACTCTGATAGGCTTAAGAAAGAATTGTTGTCTCCTGATAAAAACCCCGCCTTTCCTTATTATGGAGGTTTCCCCGCACCGCATCAAAGTAAACGCGATGAGCTTTCTGGAAAGGATGATGCAGATTTCATTTCGACTTGCCAATGTAAGGAATTTAATCATTTTAAAAGTTATATGAAGAATATTAGGTTTTATTGGTAAATAATTAATTGTGAATATTTTAATGTAGCATTATGGGGGCCTCATGATGGAGGTGCATATAAATTACCGGAGGATAACAATGAAAAAGCAAAAATTGTCCGGCAGCCAAGCGCCAAACGCGACACCGAAAACAAACCGCACATTAAGCGACCCATGAACGCCTTCATGGTATGGGCAAAGGACGAACGACGGAAGATCCTCAAGGCGTGTCCAGACATGCACAACTCAAACATATCAAAAATCCTTGGCGCAAGATGGAAAGCTATGTCAAACGCCGAGAAGCAACCCTACTATGAGGAGCAATCGCGATTAAGCAAGCTGCACATGGAGAAACACCCCGATTATCGTTACAGGCCGCGACCGAAGCGGACATGCATCGTCGACGGTAAAAAGATGCGCATCTCCGAGTACAAGACGCTGATGCGTCAGCGACGTCAAGAGATGCGACAGCTGTGGTGTCGGGACGGCTCCGAAATGAACTTTCTTCCGGGTAGTTCGGATTTAGCCTCACCGGCGACTTCAACCTCCGGTCGGCCGTCACTATCGCCGCCGCTCAGCGGTCTAATGAACGGCGCCGGGCCCTCATCAGACAATTTCTATTATCGCGACAGCGTCTCGCCGGACGTCCTGAACTACTCCAACGAGCACGCACCTTCGCCGTACGATTCTAGTCCTAGGCACGAGGACGACTGAAACAGGGCCAGTAGGGAGGCGATGGCCTTCCCTCAGACTCCCTGGTATTAAACAAATTTTCGCACAACTCGAATGTAGTCAAAACACTTAAACGAATTGCAAACGACGGGAGGGAAGCACAATGGCATGAGACTTTGATGCGATTTAGTTGAACGGGCAGTCCAAAATTCTGTGTGCCATGTTTAATAAAACGATGATATTTTGCTTTGTTTTATTAGCAGTGATTCGTTTCATAATGCAACAATCATTGTCGTTCGAATGGAGCGTTCGAATCGATTTGAAACTTTTTGATCTCTTGGACAACTTGCCAGAGGACATTTTTATTAAATTTTAACTTTATATACGAGTACTATAAATAATTATCGGTGTTGTAGATGTATTGTTATGTAGATATTATATAGAATTGAGCCGATAAAATTGAATGAATGAGATAGTTAGACGGACGCGTGTTTCAAGTTATTTATTAAATCCTTAATATTATTATTTGTTTTTTATTATTATAATATTTTTATTATTTTTATTTTGTAAATCTGTAAAGAAGCGGTTATCGACTTGTAATCTACTTAACTTTGTTTTTATTTTCTTGCATTGCATTGGATCGGCTTTACAATTTTGTTTCTTTGAGTGTTTCTCACATTGTTCTCAAGTTTTGTTGAAACAGGTGAACACGACGTGCAATGATTTAATGAGCATAAGCTTAATTTTGAACAAATTCAGCGAACAATATTCATGCGTCACCATGAACTAAAATTTTTACTGTTGATGTTTATAAAATATATTAAGCTATAAGAGCCAGTACACATTAAGTAATACTTTAATTTATTCGCTAAACGTTTAGTTTAAATTGTCCTCATTTTCTTTGATTTGTTTTCTTTATAATTAAAGAAAAAATTAGACAACAGAAGCCATACCTTAATGTTCTTTACTACTTTTCCCAAAAATTAATTCTAATCGCGCACTCTTGTGCGCTCTTGTACAGTAAAAATGTTGTTGGTTATAAAGAAAAAAAACATGATACAATGTACTTAGACATTTATAAACTATAAACGATATTGTAGACAAACCCCAGTAACTTATAAATACATACACATACAACTTACACGAGCGTCATTGGCGACGTAGACACAAAAAAACATTTGTGGTGAAAAGATATTATCGAAAATTGCTTCATTCACTATTTAGTAACTAGCGAAAGCGGATGTTGTACATAATTATTAAAAAAACACACTTGTAAAACAATAATGATCAACTAATTAATCTATTTCGCAAACGTACTTAGAATGCAAAATTTGGACAACACCATGAAATACATACGTTTGGTCATTATGTGATGTTATTTTAAGCGATGGTTAGCAATGAATGAAAAAGTTTTGCATTGCATTGCGTTGCATACAAGTAACATATGTAATATTTAATGAAATAATAAGTATACAAAAACACGTACAGCATTTAAATTATTCCACTTGCAAGCAAATTCAATTGACGACTTCGACATATACAACATTTTGAATGCATACATGTTAAGACATATGAAATATGATTAAGAGCGTACATATTTAATGGATTAACGATTATTTAAATGAGACATTAAATACTATAGGGCTAGTGAATGTTTATATACATAAGGATATGATATTGATACTAATAATACCATTCTCAATGTAAATTATTCTGATACATACCTACGATGAATAAGTACTGTATATCAAGTCATATATCAACAAACAAACACTGTTTACTAGGTCTAGGCTCACTGTTTACTGTGCCAAATTATAAAAAGAATAAAGATGAAAAATGTACAAACTTATGTTGCTTGTTTTTCTCCATTACATTCCATTTTTGCAATGATATCAATACCAAGAATAAATAATTGCTACATTAACCTTCCAAAGGTTGAGAAACGATAATCTAGTTTGCTGTGTTTATTCTCTTAAACTAGAATATAATATTTGCGTGTTTGTTTTATTTTTTTTAAAGCCCATTGTACTTATACATTATTATAATTATAACTCATTGTATAATTCATAATCCGAGTACGGGAACAGCTATTTTAATTTTAATTTTAATTAACATCGTTCACAATTGCATCTTAAGATACTGCTTCAGATGCTTTAATAAGGTATCAATATTCATGTGGAGCATCCCATCAATGATGAAATAATTTATACCGTTGGATGACAACTATGCCTGCTTAAGTATTCATGACAAAAATAAACTATGTACGTACTAAAGTTGTTAAGCCCACGTATTTGTTGTGGTGATGTTAATGAGCATATAATGAAGCGTTTAAATATTATACCATAAAGATGAAATACCGAAAAACTGAAGAGTTCCCATGATTTCTAAAACAAATGTGTCTTGATTGCGTCGTAAGTGATAAAACGAAATGGTAATTTATCAAAGCATCTCGTTATGCAATTACTAATTAAGAATCGCGCGATGCTAAATGCACAATTTATGTCACTTACCATCGTAAATAAACGCATAACGTGCTTAACAACCGACGCAATCTGCGATGCTGTCGAAAAACAAGAAAAATGTGCGAGATGTGATTTGGTAACGCAGGTGAAGTGCCGCGTTTTGAACCAGAAATGTCGATTCGATTTTAATCATCTCTGACATATTCTAATAGTTATGTGAAACAAGTGTTACGTGTTACATAAACATTTTTTTGGTATATCGACGAATAATCTTCCTCGTTTCGGACTGCTTCGTTTCTCTCTACTCTCAGCAACACTTGTGTCTTGTGTCTTCATGATGTGGTGTATCTAATCGATGATTGCACAATCTGAGTTTAGGAGTTCTGTTAATGCGGGCAAACATTCTCCATAACTCGGGCACTCTAAATCTTTTTAGACTGGTCGACCTCGGACGATTTGCTGAAGATTCGAGAAGACGGAAAAGATGGATAGTGAAAGCAAGTTGTAGTGCAATTCTGGACCAGTGAGCAGATGATATAAGATTTGCGCACTCAAAAGAATAAACTCAAATAATTTATTGTCACTCAAGGTTGGCAAATTACAAATTACAACTATAATGTTTGTAAAAACAAGAAGAATCGAACAAAGCAAAGTGTAAAGTTGCACAACATAATAATAACTCCAAATTTGTAAGCAACATTCATCATCCTATGCAGTATTTGAAACGTGTGTTGTTGTTAAAGTTGTTGTTCTTTTTTACAGCTCTATTTTGTGCTTCTTGACGCGAGCAATGTGTTGCAAGTTGCGATACCGAGACAATTGAACGTAAAATGTAAGCAGTGCATGCAATGCTTTGTGTGATATATGAATGAATGAAATGTTTTAATTGTTCGCCCATTTTGCGTGTGAACTTGTGCCGGAAAATCCAGCCTAACTGATGAAATTAATGTTTTAATAATAGCGTTAACACATGCAGCAGACATAATGACAACGACTTCGTTGAACTGATATACAAAAAATCAATTGTTCTTCGAGTTCCTAAACGTTTAGCAATCTTTTTTAAGCCCCGCATCATTGTGTTGAAACTGTTGAAGTTGAAACACATCCGCGCCGGTGTCTATTTCTTTATGTTACGTTTGTTTGCAAGTTGAATTTATTTTGCCTCATCTGTCTCGAATATTTACACAGAAAAAAACATAAACTATTACATTGCATCAACAAGTCGTGCAATCTTCAACTAAATATGAAGGACGAAGCATTTAAGTAAAGGTCCAAATAGGAGATTTGGCTTTTCCTATTTCTATTTCTATTTCTATTTCGAAAAGAGAATGTATTTGAGGATTGATAGACGATCGCATTTTCGGATAATATTTTTATGTTGTTTGTGGATTACGCAGTTATGCGATTTAAGGCTACAGTTTCAATTCTATAACGGTTCCAGAGACTTTCTGAACAGATGAATGCGTTGGAAATGAATGCTGATGCAATTGTCGTTCCTAAGTGTTTTTGCATTGAAAGCAGAACGTCCAAACCGTTAGACACAATTAGATGAATTCATAGGAAGTTAAAATGAATAGCCTAATAAAATTAAGCCTTTTTGTAGTAAGAATATTCAAGATTAAATAATGAAATTAACCACATTGCAGTGAGCAATCTTTTGTTGTGGGTCGGCAGATTGTTTATGCAGATCAGGTATCAATTTACACAGTGTGATGACCGTGAAGCCAACGATTTCGTCCGTGCGCGTTGGTGTTGACTTTTCACTTTTACCTTCATTTAGTTTTATACTCTTTGTTGCGCGGTGATGCATATTTTGTTCAGCCGCCAACCTTAATTCGCAATAATAACGAATTCGTGCTCGCAACCAGCAGCACGACTATCTGCTAACGAACGCTCCACAAAACATCACCATCAGCATTTTCAACTGAAAATAAACTTCCTCTGTGATGATGCGCTTGTGCAAAAGCAATATAGGGCATTGGGTGAAAGTGCCTTCAAACGGCGCTGAAGTATAGTTGTAGATAAGTGCAAAAAAGCGCAGCAAATTGCGCAGGTGGTCATTTGTGCCTTGTTGCATCTCGCGGCCAAACGGAAAGATGTTACCACACATTCGGTAACCGCATTCATTATGCGAGCGCGTATATTAGGTATGTAAGATGCGGTAATGTGTGTGCGGTGTGTTCTGCACAAAACGTGCAAGTTGAAAAGTGCGCGACGCGTCTGGACCAGCGGCCAGTCGAAAGCGAACCACCTCCGCGCTAACTTCGAGCGTTGAGTCGCGACTTAACTTGAGTCTAGTTCAGTTGAGATCAGTTGTTCTTGCTTACTGGTCGCGCACACGCGAGTGACTTTTATCTACCTACAATCGACTTTGTTTGGCTTCGTTGCTGCTATCATCGCAGCGCGCGAAACGTGTTTGCCGCAATAATGCAGTTCGTGTGCGCGTTCGTTCAGTGCACCTAACAATATTGTGTGTTTTTGTTTGCAATTTTGTATAATTACATCGTGCGACTAATTGGCGAGATTATTAAGTGCCGCAGATCAGTTCGCGAAGCGTACAAATAAAGAGGTAACTAAAATCAAATAACACATTGCACATTATCATGCGATCATGCCGGAAGCGGTCTGAAAACGAGTTTGTTTATCGCTTTAATTAAGCGAGAAGTAGTCTAGTTGTTGTAGAAAGTGTATGTAGTGTAAAGTGCATTGATAACAGTTTGTGTTGTTACATAATAAGTATACAAAATCGCGTTTGCAAATTTTATTAAATTTAATGAATTTAATTAGTTTAAATATCAATTATTTTAATGCACAACCTTCAAAATATAAATACTTAGACCATTCTTCACACAATAACATGTAAATTTAATAACTATTTATCGATGTAGGAAGTGCAACGTACATTATTTAATATTTACGGCATGACAAACAAACAATTTCGACTCATCTAACGCGGAAGACGAGTGTAATGAAATTGTTGAATATGTTTAATTACGTTTTTGGAATATTTTAACTTTTAACAAACAAGTGAAAATCAAAACACGTTTGTTTTGCATAGTAGTTACCTACTATAATCAAATATTCATAACAATGATTTATTCGTTGTTTCCTTAGTATTCAATTTAAATTTATTGAGAAATATCTTGGTTTAAAACCGTTTGAAATGATTTAATGATGCTTTGATGATACAGCATCAATTAATTTCTTATAGATTAGGTCATTGACCAACTACTTAACCAGGCTGTTAGTGGCATTGACACAATAATCCGAAAATCCATAATTATTTCATCTTAAAAAGTTCCGTTTTACCTCTAAATTAATTTCGAAATCATTCATAAACTTTTTTTAAATTTATTTAATTGAGGAAATTGCTTGTATACACAAGTTTTATAAAGTTAATGGAGCTAGACGAACAAATGATTGAAAGGGATTTGGTTTTCTTCAATAAAGTGAAAGCATTTACTTAAAGAAATTACGCATGTCAATTGGTGTATTCGTAGTATTATTACTATATTCATATATAAGTATAATAAAATCAGATAAGAAAGTATTTTACATATGCACAATTTATGAATGTGTACTTGACCATATCTTGTCACGACTTCGTGTGTGTAGTAAACTTGACCGTTAAATACGATTACTGTTAGTTGTTAAATAAATGTCGAAAGCGGTGCCAAAGTCCCAAATGTATTCCAAACACAAACACAGATTATACTCGTGTGCACTCACAAACAATGATTAGTTGTTTTAACTACCACCTAGATATTTGTGCCAATGTATCTATAATTTCGTTTCTGAGAAAGCAATAATGTCAATATAACTACAAGTGTGTTCTGCATGAATTGGTAGCGCAATTAAGCACATACTGCAACGGAAAACTATTTTCTTAGCGTGTTTGAGAGGAAGTGTATGTAATAGCACGTACGGAATTGCAAGTTGGGGGTTATCAACGAGCAATCAACAATATATTCATTCATACCGTAGAAGAATAGAAACGCATTCGTAAATCTTGCGCAGACAAGACATTTTCTTGTCATTTGGAGTTTCGAAAGTTGCTATGGTGATGCTGCGCGCGTTGTTTCACGGTTGATTCGACAATTGTCGAAGATAATGTGTGCGCAAGAGTTAATGTTACTATGTACATGTTGATACCTAGACGAAATTGTGTTAAACGGTTACAGAGCGCGCTTTTTAACAAACAAAAATTACGCTGTTGCACAAAAACGGTAGTGGTGACCTGTATGCTGTTTGTCGGTTGACCTTAAACGATTTGCAGTTTTTGTTACTTTTTCCTTGTTTGCAAGATGTGAGCATGTAATGGATATGTACAGGGTGGAGCATGAAGTATCGTTGCAGATAATTTTACAAGTTTTGTAAATACTTACGTCATTGGTTGCATGTCAACGTTCATTTTCCTGAATTTGAAAGACATTGTCACATATTTTTCATAGAAATAGTTTAAACTTTCTTTTTATTTTATGTTAAGATGAGTTTGCATGTGTGAATTCCAATGAGGAGTTCGTTAAGATCAATTCAAGCAATAATAAATTCCCATGACTTTAGAAATCTGAAAATGAATTGTTGACAACTTCAAAACGGATGAAAATGTCAAAGATCTCACAAAATGGTTGAAGATTTAACAAGAGAGCGTAGTTTTAAGCGATAACCAAAATTATTATACTCTAAGATAGTTTTATCAACTTTGTACATCTATTTTTTCCATAATCTGACTTCATCGGAAAGAAAATGCTGTGTGGAAGTATTTAACTCTACATCTTCGCATAGATTATTATGTTATTCAAGTTTTTCTTCCTAGGGTACATTGTGGACGCGAGCCTTGTGAATTATGTTTCAATTATGGACTCTTTGGGCTGTGATATTGTCGTACATTGTTGTTAACGTTGCACCATTAGAAAATGGCGTCGCACGCACACCGCCGATGGGATGGCTGGCGTGGGAACGCTTTCGATGTAACACCGACTGCAAAAACGATCCTGAAAATTGTATAAGGTGCGTAACATTAAAGTTGAGTCGATAAAATTTCTTCAACGTTCGCTTTTTTCTCTTCTTTGTTGTGGTTCAGTGAGCGGTTGTTCCGAACCATGGCTGATTTGGTCGTCTCGGAAGGATACGCCAAAGTCGGCTATGAGTATGTGAACGTAGACGACTGCTGGCTGGAGAAGGAGAGAAACGTCCACGGACAGTTAGTGCCGGATCGCCAGCGGTTTCCAAGAGGAATGAAGTCGCTGAGCGATTACGTAAGACATGCAATAATTTCGTTTTAATTCGATGCTTAATCTTGCGCTTGTTGTTGTTGGATTACATCTAGGTTCATTCGAAAGGTCTGAAGTTTGGAATTTACGAAGACTACGGCAATTACACATGCGCCGGCTATCCGGGCATATTGGGATATTCTCAGATCGATGCGGCAACATTCGCCTCCTGGGACGTTGACTACGTGAAACTGGACGGGTGTTACGCGCATCCATCGGACATGGACCGAGGATATCCGGAATTCGGATACTATTTAAATCGCACTGGACGTCAGATGATTTACTCCTGCAGCTGGCCTGTGTATCAAATCTACGCAGGCATGCAACCGAATTACTCTTCAATCATTCAACATTGCAATCTGTGGCGCAACTTCGATGACATTCAGGATTCCTGGTCAAGCGTGGAGAGCATTATGGACTATTACGGCAACAATCAGGACAGCGTCGTGCCCAATGCCGGTCCCGGCCATTGGAATGATCCAGATATGGTGAGAGTTATGATTACGTTCACTAATGCTTTGCCTTGAGGACATAATGCAAATGTCGCTTTCTAGGCGCTCTTAACAATTTAACAATATGACTGAGAATTCGAGAATGAATATTGTCACATTTAAAAGTTGACGAGTGTTTTTTTCGCTGTAAATGACTTAAGTGAAGACTTCAAAGCGAAGTGAAATTTCAGTCCCATGCGAAAATGCAACTTTTACTTTTTTCCCATGGATTTTCTTCCATTATAATTGCGCCTGCTATTACAGCGAGCTGTGCTCTCAGACACATCGTCTACAATTTATCTTAAACTCTTTTCTTTGCTTTTCTTAGTGCAGATTAAGTCATTGTTCCATGTACAAATTTCATAACGCCAACAATCAGTACCAAAGTGTACCAATCTAAAAATTAAAAAAAACAGTATTAATTATTTTACATTTCCAACGCATTGTACAAGAATTTGTTATAATTGTCATTATTGTTCGTTAGTTAATTACTGTTTGTCATTGCACAAACCGCGATCGCATTTTTAACCAATATCAAGGTCTGAAATTAATTCCTCTAACTTTCTAAATATAAACAGTGATACGAAATTCCGAATTTGAGAATATTACGTACAGCTGAGTACTTATGATGGTGTTTTATCAATATATGTACTCTTGTTGGTAACTAAACCACTTTCACATTTCTTTCTGATCGGTTGGCGAGGTTTGTGACTGCGCTCGAGGCCTAATGTGCGAACGTGACACGCGCCTATATGTGTAACTAAATCAGGGTTGGTCTTGCAACTCTTCGCTTCCGATTGCGTTAAAGATTTGCAAGCGACATTCTAAAAGTGTCATAAAACTATCAACTGTGAGAAGTTGCAGGCCTAACGTTCTAATTGAAAGTTACTTAACACTGACATATTTTTGCGTGTGAGCTGCACGCAATATCATAGAGGAATGATTATGGACCTGACCACTGATGCCTACTTACATGAAGTTGTAAAGAAGTGATGATTATATTGTTACATTGAAAGTTTCTCTTTTTACAGATCTACAGAATACATTTTTTGTTCAAAAGTAACAATTTCTCGCTTATTCTTGTAATTAACAGAATATCTTCACTTAGATTTCACGCATTGCTTACTGATGTGATAATGAAAAGCCGGAGTTGGGCAATACTCATCATCTATTCGAAATACCATTTAAATAAGAAAGGTCACGCACGGGTATTGCTTCTCTGGTTCTGCTTTGACTCCAACAAGCTTGTTTATACAATTGCACAGCATGGACGTGTGAATTCTTTACTTGACGTTCTAAGCTTCACTTAGATCTCTTATTCATCGTTATATAATAAATAACAAGCGTCGGCGGCGTGTTTTATTGGTTCAAAAGTCACCTCGCTTTCTATAATTAAAATACATACTAACAACCACAATTTGATTAATTATAGTATTATGGCATTTACCCTAGTTTTGATTCGATTTTTAGTTGATCATCGGTAACTTTGGTTTGAGTTATGAGCAGTCCAAGACGCAAATGGCAATTTGGGCCATTCTAGCTGCACCGTTACTAATGTCCGTTGACTTACGCACCATCCGGCCAGAATACAAAGCAATCTTGCAGAATCGCAAAATCATCTCCGTGGATCAAGATCCGCTTGGCATTCAAGGCAGGCGTATTTATAAGGTAATAATATATGTTTGTACGATTGTATAATACGTTACGTGAATTAATACCTGTGAAATTAGCATAAAGGAATTGAAATCTGGTCGCGTCCGATCACACCTCTGTACCAAAATTACTTCTCGTATGCGGTGGCATTTGTAAATCGTCGTACGGACGGCACACCATCCGATGTCGCGGTGACGCTCAAAGAACTCGGATTAACATCGCCGACAGGTTACAGAGTCGAAGTATGTATATTATTACTTGTAAATTTTCTTACCACATACTTATTAACACTTATTATTCCGATCATGCTTGTAGGACCTCTACGAAGATGTCGATTATGATGTGTTGTCGTCGCAGACGAAGATCAAAGTGAAAGTGAATCCATCAGGAGTCGTAATATTGCGTGCTGATGTCCAGCCGGACTATACTCGACGGATACCATTCTATAGCACTCAGAGAACCCCGTACGATCCGATCAATCAGGTGTTCAGGGTAAGGAATAACGGGTTTTGAGTGTTTTCATTAAAATCGTATTCCAGCCTGTGTCTTGTCTTCAGTTTATGTGTCTCTTTTTTTTGTAAATACTAGTTTTGTTTATTTAATTTTTAATGTTCTTTTATTCGAAAAGATTACATCATAATGACAATATTTTTTATACTTTAATTAAAATATAAAGTTAATCAATGTTGTAGTCGTATTTGTCAGTACCTATGTGTATGGTTACGGATAATCCTCGCACGTTTGTTGGTTTCCTTTTGCAAATCAGAGTACCTTTTAATGTATCTCCTTGTTGCATGTCTAGAACTTTTGGCAAATAAAACACAGTTTGTTTCCAATGTGTTTTCTTGGTTTTCGGGCCGGTTGAGAACATTACTGGCACTTCTAAATCAAAGAATGTATCGAAATATCCAACTAATCCAGTGACAGTACAGTCTTTTGTTATTTCTAATTCAAATGGAGCTGTAAAGTCCGGTGTGCCTGTGGTGCATGTATTAATATCAATTTCGGTCAAAATGGCAGAGTTGGCAACAATTCGCTCATCGGGCACAACCTCTACAACCGCTTCGGAGATTACATCTGATTTCATACAATGCATTTTAAATCCATAAACGTCATCCCAGTAGTTTATTATCTGGTCGTACCGTTCTGCGGTAAAAATAAGAAAGTTGTTCAATTCTTTTTTAAGTAGTTATTTTACTTGCTCACCTTTGTCGGAACATGCTGTGATTTGAATGTTACAGCGATTTGGTAATATAATACCGTTCGGTTTGAGGTGGTTGTCTCGCGCGTATATTACACTATCCAGCATGCCCTCGAATAATAAAAAGTATCCCATCCATTCCGATATAATAATATCAACTTTATCCACGGGTAGCTTGGTGTCTTCTAATCGTCCATGCAGTAGTTCAATTTTGTCGTGTAAGTTGTTTAGCCTTGAAATTGTACGCAATTGTGTTTTGTTTGATTGTTTCTATTAAAATGCACAACAAAAATGTAAATACCTGACAATGTCCATTGCTTTGAATACAACATCAGAGAGATCAATTCCGTAGACTTTTTGGGCGCCTGCTGTAGCGGCAAACATGGATAATATACTCGTACCGCAACCAACATCTAACACCAATTTATTGTTAAATGTGTTTGTGTTTTTTAAGATGGCGTCTCTATAACTTTCAGTGCGGATTGTGTCCTAATTGATAATAATGATAATTTATTCGTTTTTAATTTTAATAGTACTGAAAATTACTTACACTAAGCATCTCTAAATGGATATCATAATGAGCATAGGAATTGAAATATTCACTATCATTTCCTACTGGAACATGACTAACACACTTTGGTGCTTGATAGTTTTCATCACCATGTTCAACTATATTCTTTGTGATCTCTTTCATTCTTGAGATATCACTCAAAGCATTATCCAAAAGCATATTTTTATGCTTTATCTAAAAATATCATTTAATATGAGGTTGAATAATGTGCAAACATCTTACCTCTGTTGATAAATCATGAACTTGTTGTTGTAAATGGGCATAAGAAAGTGAGATGGGACTTTTTCCATCTATGGCATAATGTGGAGTGGAAGGAGCACTACCCAAATCATCAAAATCTTAAATTTGCAGTATAAAGAACAATTCATACTAATATAGAGAATATGTATTACCAAACATTAACCAAGTCTCAGTTTCATTTGGTTTTAAATATTCATCACTGTTCCATGGTGCAACTTCAAATTGCATCAATGTGTATGGTTCAGGTTGATGTTTTCTAATATAATTTATCATCTTAATGAAGGAGTAAATGTCCATGTTATACTTGGTTTTAAGATCTAATGGATCAAAATCATGAAGGGATCTGCAATGATCCATTGCTACTGCAATTGTACGAAATTGCAAAGGGCAGAATAAGCATGTTGTCTGTTCTGCAGCACTTTCCATTTCATCCCAACCATCAGAATCATCATTATCCTGCATTGCTGTGGCACCATCACAGATGTCCTCTAGAGGTGGAATGTCTAGAAGTAAGTGGATCATTTTTAAATGGATTATTAATTATTTAAAAAGTAGTTTACCTGCGTCGCTCATTTTCGAACAACCAGAAATACCCACACGTGTTGAAATAACGCAGTTAGCGCAAGTTAACAGTAGTTTGTTTTCTTAACAGGTTAGGTTGTATTATCGACTTTTATTTTAATTAGTTTATCTATTACAGGTAAATAAATAGGCAGGTACTAATTTCTGAATAGTATCTATGTATATTTAAAGTAAATATTTAAAACTACATTACATATTTCAAAAGTTAACAAACATTTTAAAATGTATAGTAGTCATAAATGTTCCTAGGTGTCACTATTATGTTGAATTTGGAATTAAATTAAGCTTAAAAGTACTATATACATGTCATAGAGGGCGCTAGCATGCTATTTGGTGGAAAATTCATGAGTTTGTAATCGTTCCAGCTGGTTCAGCGCGCCGCACGTTCTGCGCATCGATGGTGAGCGCGCACAAGTTTGCTGCAGTGCATTGTTTGTAGCGACTGGCTGCTCGGCGCAGGCATCGCGCAATCAGTTCGTGTCCGGATTGCTGTCTGTATGAGCGGGGCGCGCGCGTGTGTGCATCGTCGTCGCCTATCCGCAGCTCACACAGGGCGCGTTATCCAACTTGAACGCAAAATCTTCGGGTGAAAAACAATTGCGGGTGCAAACACAGTGCGTGAACAAGTGTGTTCGGTGACGGAACGAGTGTGGCATGTGAAAAATATTTCGAGCGAGAACAGCACGCACACCATTATGGAGTAGCCGAGCGCGCATACGGGAGAGAGCCGTGAGCCGTCGACTGCGTTTGCTTGTGTGGTGTGTGTCTCTGCGCGCGCGAGTCATCGCAAGGGACCTTTTCTTGCTCGCGCCCAAAAAGGCGCATCGTTTCGCCTGCGTGTGCATTGTGGATATAATATACAAATAAACATGAGCAGACACATACCAGCTGATAAGGTAATTATCGATTTTGCGCGCCGCGGATGAGATGTGTTTTTTGTTATTGTTGGGGGGCATCGCGCGCCTCCGCGTTGCAATTGCACCGCAACCGCACCCTTCCTGAACCGCCAAGAGAAGACTTATCATCTCGCAAGCGTATGCTATCATCTTAAACAAATTTCATGATTTTGTATATACACTAGGCGTACAAGTGTGCAAATCTGCTGCAGCAACAATCCGACAACTGTTTCGGTTATATATGAACGACCTACTTTTTTAGCCCACATTCAATTCACGTTGTGCAGCTCTGTCAAACAAACGTACGAACAAGTTTAATGCGCACCGCGCAAACAGAAACATTTATTTCGATTGACACTTTGCAAGTGTAGAAGATAAAAAATCACAACAAAAAAAAATCACAATTCAGAATATTCTTTTTTCCACTGAAAAAACAACGTTGTTTATTTGCAACGCATTAAAAATAAACTCGTATGAAGTGAATTAAACTGCGAAGATTAACCTTAGTTAACATTCTTTATTTATGGTTGTTTATTGCATGCGCCAACAGTATTTGCATTTCTATTTAAGTGTGTATGTTGCAATACAATTGTATTTTTCGCGGAATCATTATCTTTATAAAAATGCTGCTTATAAGCTGTAGATAACTTTGCGTCATATGAATCATTTCCTAATTCAATGTAATTTTAATTTTACAATTAATTATCAACATATATACTTGGAATTTGCTTGAAACCTTTTCTCTATTGAGGGTGGCGATTCAGGTAGTTGAATCCTACCAATAATATCATACCACGATGGAAATAACAAAAGAGCACCTTCCTGAGCCCACCGGCACTGATATACGAAATACAATGACGGAACGTCCTCGCTCAGCGAACAAAAACGACTTGTCTCACATTACAGAATGGATCACTTGGTCCACTTGGTCCTCGTAAGCATGAAGCGCAGACAAGTGTTTGCCGGATCCCCTTCGATCCGCTCTCGGTTGGCTTGGGTGCGTTTGCACTGCGTACACTGGCCCTCACCTTGCTAGAGGTATATTTTTCGTTTTTTTTTTCTTTATTCGGTCGACATTATCCCTGTCCGTTCTATTATTGTATTTTTGTATTCGAAGCGCTGCCGCCCCGTTGCCTCGGCCGCCTGTTTGTGTTTTGTTGCCAACGCCGAGCGCAGCGCGCAGGTTGAAAACACTTTGTGATGGTTTGCGTTGCGAAGGCATCGTCGTTGAAAACTAGTTGAAAACTTGTAGGAACAGGTTCGAGCACTCTCGTGTAGTATTCAAGTCGAGAGACGAAATATGAATAGTTAGATGGTGAATTAGATATGTTGCAATGCCTTCAAGACGTTTATTTTCTATTCTTCTTTTTTCGGGGTGGTTACACTGTTACAAGTACACTAAAAGGAAAAAATGACAATACTGGCATTGAAATAACATTGCGCGCCATTTTTATTTCCGTGTGAAGCGTGCATAAATTGTTTTCAGTTCTATTTTTGGGAAAAAGGCAAAATACATTTGTTGCATTTACTTATTGTGCGAAAATCGTTTCGATATCGATAGCCAATGCCATCGGTACTTGCTCGTGTTTGCTAGCTGTGCGTCTATTAGCATTGATCGAAAAACGTGGGATCGTCAAGGCAAAATTCAACTTATAAAGCCAAGCACAATGACGTAGTTACTTTTATTATTAGCTCCGCAGGCTTTATGCTCTCTGGTTCCTACGGAAAAGTAAGTACATTTATTTATTATTGATGAAACTGTATTTTACTAGATCTATACAGTTCCGTTTTAATCGGTTTTTGTTCATTACTTCCTAGATATCGTCAGATGTGGAAGTTGAAGTTATCAACAACAAAGTTTGTTATTGTTTGAACATGATTTTTCACTAAACCATCCCAGACAATTCATAAATTAAATGAGATGTAGGGAAACAAAGATGACAGCAACCAAACAAACTGTTTTTGCTTTCTAGGTTCATAAATAACGTACTTACAAATATGCAAGGCAATGCAAAAACAACTCCAATATAAATACCATCTTGAGAATAACAAAAAAAAGAGGCATGAAGTTTAATCAATGCTCTTCAGGGTTTTCTCTTTACACAAATTTATTACCTACTCTGCGCGGGGCGTCATGTGACTTGATTTATTACATCAACCAATGCAGTTAATTCCTTGTAAAAACATCACCGAAAATAACACGAGAATACAGTATTGTGATAACTTGTGTTGTGCGTGGAAATTTGGGCGACGACTGCTTGAGTTGAGATTGTCATCGAATATTCGAATAGACAACGCTGCGGTCTGCACACCAGCAGTCTTCAAGACTCCGAACTTTCTTAACTTGTTTATTGTGGTTTTAATATTATCTGTGTGCGCGCACAGCGCTTTCGAGAGTTTTGATGATGTGTGGGCGCTATTTTTAGCTGGGCAGAAAGCCCCTTTGGCGATTACGACTCATACTTAGCGCCTCGGGATGGATCCGTGAAGATGATGACACATTTAGTCACTGGGAGAATGTGTGTACAAAGGGGGAGATATTTTTTCGAAATCTATTTGATTCTCTACAACTCAAGTGCCTATGATTGATTGCCTCTAGAAAGAATATTTATCTATATGGAATGATATTCACTCCAATATTGGTTTTAATTTGAATGTCACACGGTGGTAACATTTGGAGAACCAAGCCTCAATTTTATGACGAGTGGGAAATGTGATATTATGAAACACATGTTTCCCGTAAAATCTTTAAACGAAAGTTTTTGTAGCCGCAGTTGTGAAATGTTACTTTTGTATGTGTTTTTAATTATATCCGCAGTGTTGGTCGTTGAATTTCATGCTGCATATTAATATTTATTAGTTTATTCTGGTTGAATGAGTGCTTTTAATTATTAATCACTTTTAGCGTCTTTAATACTCGTCTTCATGCTAAAATCGATCAAATTCTTCGATTTGCTTAGGTACATTAAGTTTAAATTGTTTGTACGGGAAGTAATTACTAAGTTTGCAACTATCTTCGCTTTTATTTCGTTAATGAATAATAGATGAACTAGTTATCGAAATGAACCAAATATTTAAAATCCGGTTTGCGTTTAGTAACAGGCGACACACTCAACTTGTTTAATTATTGCGATATTGCCATATTTTCATGCAATTATCTTCCAGTAATTTAGCATGTATGGTTTTTTTTTGTACCTAAAGGATAGAAAATAATTATCGCGCCTTCACAGTGAATATACTATTTTCATTTCTGTGCGCAATTCAACCCAACCGAAAACCTTTGCGAGCAACCACACGTTGCTGTTGCGTTTTTGTCACCAAGCCACAAGCTCAGCGAACCAGCGAGATGCGATGTTGCTTTATGCACGAACCATTAGTTCTTCGTGTGTGTGTGAAGATTCATTCGAGCGCAATTGATTTACTCCTCCGCAAACGCGCGCGCGTTCGTTATTGTTGTTTCGCATACATCGGGACGAAATTAATAGTCGTGGTGTGCTGGTGCACGAACTACAACTTTCCACGGACCGTCGGTTATGTTTTATTAATATTCGAAGCTCCCAATTTGCAGTTAACTGTTTTTCGCGGACGAAAATCGTGACCGGGCGGGACGCGATAGATGAACTTCTCGAATTCCACCGTGCGCGTTCGGATAATTCAGTGCAGTTGTAGTGTGGCCGGCGTGAAACCGCTGTTAGATCAAAGATCTGACCCCGCGTCGTTATATTCTTGTGCTCAGATTGTACCTACTCGCGAACGAATACAGGTTTGACTTTTTAAAGGATCGTATTCCTTTCTTACTCGCTGCCTGGCGTGGCTTGCTTGATCTTTTGATACACTGCATGATACCTTGTCTATTATACTGCACTGCACTCTTCTTTTGCTTGCTTGCTCCATTCTTGTTTATACGCCGCAGCAACAATATATGCGTGCGCTGCAAATTAACTCGACTTTTTACGGGTAATAATGAATTACGTTCTTGGTTGGCATTCTTGGAAGGACACTGCGACGATTTCGTTTTTACGAAAAGCACCCGAACGAATGATATATTGAGGAAGTCATCAGTTTCGTCTTTTCAGCGTAACAATTCGTTCGACCACAATAGATAAGAATAAAAAGCTGATTCTAGGTAGCGTTTGTATTGGTAGTAGGCTTTTTTTCGGAAATATACCTAGTTTTCCAATGTCTTTGTTGTTATTTATTACGCTTCCGTTATGTCAGCACAAACTTTCGTTTTAGCCACACGCAGTAGTTACGGCCTGGGTTTTATTCGCGACGTTCATTAAATGGAAATAAGTGAAATTCATTCATCGTCGTGTGTATGAATAATAGTTTCGAACGCGAGTATCTTATCTAATTGTTACGGTCTTGTGACCGTGCAACACAATGGTAAAAGTTGATTTTGCAACCAATGAATTCACAGTGTTACGCAGGCAATTTTTTGGAAATTACTTAATAATATTGTTTTGTTATAAGAATCTACGCTTTAATTTTTTACGATTTTATTGCTAGTAATATATCAAGGTGTACAATTTTATTAATGTCGCTGCATTCTGCAATCGAATATTTTCGTGCTGCCGACATCTTTGTTCTCGGCTCACCGAATGCATCCTCATAAATTATCTGCGCATCTGGTTTCGAAGTACGCGCCGACATAATAGTTGGGGGCCCTTTTCCCAACTGGCGTCTTCTCCACCTCACGCTCCCTCACTGGAAATTCCTTAATGCGGAATTCCTGGATTACAACTTCAATAAATACATAGATAACATTCGTGCGCCAGCTCATCACTTGAAGCATACCTTTCATTTTGCTTCCACTGCTTTTTCTACTAATTAAATGTAGTTTTTCTTGTTTTAGAATGATTTATTTACGAAGTAAGGTTGAGAAATTGTGTTTCAATGGTAGATATATGGGTGTGAACTTGCACACCAATATTTTTACCTAAGGCAAGGTTTGCACTAAGGTTGCGATACTTGAGCAACTAGAAATTATGCTGGTTTGC